GGCTAGGTCTCCACCGACCGCCATGGCGGTCCGGCGACCATCATCCAACCATGTCCAGCTTCCTTCCACAGCGCACATTCAGAGAAATTGCTGATGCCGGAGACTTTAAACCAGCGGGCAAATTTAAAGGCCAACCTGCCATCTCCTTCCTAGACGCGGATGTGAGTGCCATAGTTATTAAAGGCGCTCGCCTCTCTCGCCTATGGCGCCTCAGGCGACCAGGCGAGCTCTCAGCGCCTCAATGAAGCCAGGCGAGGCGAGATCCCTAAGGCGCGCCTAAGGCGGTCGCCTTTCTCGCCTCAATCACTGCCTCAGGCGTTCGCCTAGCTCGCCTTTCTCGCCTCAATCACTGCCTTAAGGCTTTAGGGTATACAATGCATAATATTTATTGCTATATATTACTACATAATATATATATACACACACACACACACACATATACATACATACATACATACATACATACATACATATATAGTATCAATATTATGTGTTTATACATACATACATACATATATGTGTGTGTGTGTGTGTGCGTGTGTATATGTATGTATGTATGCATGCATGCATGTTCGCCATTTGACCGCCCGCCTCTTGCCACGCCTCTCGCCATAAAAAAGGTCCTCTCGCCCGCCCCTCGCCACTCGCCATTAATAACTATGGTGAGTGCACTCTCATCCAGATTCGCACGAACAATAGTTGGGCACTTCATCAAAGGGAGACCAAGCCTTATCTCAACCAGAAAAGCTTTTGAACGGATTGCCTTTGAAAGCGATTTCTCTGTAAGTCTCTTAGATGACTGCCATATTTTGATCAATTTCGAATCTGAAAAGGATTTCCTGAGATGCTTGTTGCGAAAATATTGGAAGATTAATGGATTCTCTTTGAAAGTTTTCCGATGGACTCATGATTTCGACCCTAATGCCGATTCCCCACTAATTCCAGTTTGGATAGGCCTTGAAGGTTTGCCTATACATCTATTTGATTCTCTTGCTTTATTCTCAATTGGGAACCTGCTTGGTAAACCCCTGAAAACTGATTCAGCAACAGCAACTCTTTCGAGGCCCTCTGTTGCCCGAATATGTGTTGAGATAGATACCAGCAAAGAACTGCCTCGAAGTGTTTGGATTCACCTGGGAGAACTCACCTTCCTACAGCCAATAACTTATGAAGATCTTCCAGACTATTGCCCCTCATGCAAATCTTTTGGCCACAAAAACTGTAAGAGAAAGAATGAGAACTCTAGATGGGTTAAAACAGAAGGCATTAAAACAGAAGGGGTTTCTAGAACTGGAATTGCTGCTCCTAAGCCTGGAGTGACCCCAACTACAATAGAGGCTGTTTTGCAAACAACCCAGGGTGAGGATGCAACCATGTCTATTTCTGCTGCCGAAACAACAGTCTCAAATGGGGCTGCTCCTCCGAGAGTTGACGTGGCAACTAGTCTAACCCTTGCTAATGTGAGGGACTCTACAGCTCATGAACCCCCTTCAATTTCTAATGATCTTGAAGCAACCCCTAGTGGCAGCTCCCCAGCAACAAACCTCAGGACTGATCTAGACCCTATCGTCTGTGAAGACACAGATTGTGTTGAGAAAGATGCTGAAGCAACTCTTACTCAAAGTTGTACAGCAGCTCATCATAATGTTAAGATAGCTTCAGATGTTTGTGAAGTTATTCCTACTGCCAATTGTCCAGCAACTTGTGGTATTAGTGAGGTAATATTGGCGACTCCTACCAATGTCCAAGATGATACCCTTATACTGGAACCCGATTCTCCTTTACTTTTTAACAATGAACTCAGTTGTGGTACACACAATCTGTCTTCCAGGGCAGCATTGGAAGGCACACAGACTGTTGACACTGAAAATAAGGAAGAGTACATTCCTGACCCTTCTCAAATCAACTTAATTGAATTTCCAGTCCTCACAAAAGAATTGTTGGAAGCTATTAGTGGTGCACACACTCTTTCTCTTGAGAAAGAGATGGAAGGCGCACTAAGTCTTTCATCTACAGGAAATGCTGAGATTCCTTCTGATCCTATGGAAAACAAAAACCCCCCTCCACTGTTGACCAACGATGCAGGTATCAACCCATCAACAATAGGACCGGTCCTTCAATCCTTTGAGATCGACGGACAAGAATATGAAATTAGGTCCTACATTGAAGAAGGGGGGACATCACAACAAAGGGAGGAAACCAATGACTTTCAAGATGTCCAAAATAGACGTACCAAAAAAGCAGGCAAGAGGCCAAATGCACCAAGAACAATCAAAACTAGAAGCTACGACCCAAACCTCGAAGTCGGGACGGTTAGTGAGATCACCAGATACTGGCCTAGCCAAAAATCAACAACTTTGGAAAAAATTATCACTATCAAAAGTTACTCCGGGCCCTTTTGGTATGTCGGCCCCGTCGGTCCTATTGGAAACGATGGGAAGAGGCCAAAGAAAGTAATGCCTAGAAACCTTTCGCTTGATCAGCATCCCGGCTTTATAATCTGGGAGTGATCATTTTCGTTCATGTTTATTTCCCTTTCAGTTTTTCTTTACTTCATGCAGTTTAAGAGGGGCATTGGTCTAGTCCTCCCCTCCATGTACTTTTTTCTTTTTTCCTCTTTCTTAATAAAAATTATCCTTTCAATAAATAAATAAATAAATAAATAAATATATATATATATATATAGTATCAATATTATGTGTTTATACATACATACATACACATAGTAACATACTTTATATACACACACACACACATATATATGTATGTATGTATGTATGTTCGCCATTTGACCGCCCGCCTCTCGCCATAAAAAAGGTCTTCTCACCCGCCCCTCGCCCCTCGCCATTAATAACTATGAGTGTGCATTACGAATAGATTTTGTAAATAATGACTAAGATGCAAATATGATCATTCAAGTGTAAAAATGCACTTTTTAATGCATAAAAGTACTGATTTGGTAAAGATTAAATAAAGAATATTTTGGACTCAACAGTCAACACCACCCTTGAAACCCTAGCTCGCTGGTTCAATGCCTAGTGAAGCAAACCGGGGCTATATGTCATATCCTATTGCAATAATGAAAAATGACGTTTGGATTATGCATTCTCCTAGGTTGATAATAATTTCTAGGTTTCTATATTGGTTTATCATATTTTGAGAAAAGTTTTGTTTATGCACATTCAAGGTGTTATTTCCAGGTTCGCTAAAATGATCATTGTTCAACCTAGTGTTCTTTCTAAGTGGTCTAGTGTTCCTAATTAATTTAGGTTGTCTATTAGGACTTGT